ATTCTCTTTTTCACGGTACGCTTCCAACAACAAGGGTACTGCCCAACGTCACGGATCATATGGGGGTCCTTAATTACAGAGCCCGTTGTTGGAATTTCACGGGTTCGGTCAGGTTAAAATTTATTTTTAAGTGTCTTAACATATGGAAAGAGCTGAGGGGGATCTCAGTGATTGGCATGGGGTGCCACGGTGGGGAGATGTTAACTGCCTCGCCTGGCATGCAGGAAGGTCGTGAGTTCGATCCCGACCCTGACAATGTCTGTATATTTGTAGTTTGTGTGTCTCTCTATCATCATCACGGTGCCTAGGAGATGTTAACTACCTCGCCTGGCATGCTGGAAGGTCGTGGGTTCGATCCCGACCCTAACAATGTCTGTATATTAGGAGTTATGCATGTCTATATCCCTGTGATCGTGTAAGATTTTTTTCCACATTTAGAAACATGCTTTTTTAGTATTCGGCTGCTATGTCCGTATGATAAGCCACGTCGTAGTGGCCAGGTCGCTTCTGAAAAAGAGCTATACAGCTCAGTGGGCCTTACCTGGTAAAATAAAATGTTTACTACTCAAATCTTTGCATACGCAAATGTACCAATTGGAGAGTCAATGACACAGTGCTGAAAATTAACTCTTAGCACCTTAGCCAGACGGCGGTGGCTACAAACGTGGCCTCTAATCCAGCACCGTGAAGACAGTGAGGATTGGTGGATCAGCGCACAGATGTTACGAAACTCCCCGTCCCACGGCAACCGAGGAAGTGCCATACCCTTGCTCGCCGGGAGAAGGCAGTAGAGCAAATGTGGACTCCATCTTTTCCATCTGTATGGGATAGAGTGTTGTCCCCTCGCATGCATGGGTTTTCCCCGGCTGCTTTAGTGTCCTTCCACACGTGTAAACACTCATGAACTGGCCGATAACACCTTAACATATAGAGGGGCGGGGGGGGGGGGTGAATTTGACACCCACTCCCCGGCTGCCGCCTTTCACACTCATCCGTGGTTCCTCGTCTTCGAGAGCGAGCGGACTCTGAGCGGCGGCGACGCGGAGTCACAAGTTGAAAGCAGCGTCTCCCGAAGCTCTCGACTGGACGTCGAAGCGTCACATCGACATGACATCACGTGCAAATGTACCGGCTGCTCGACAGCTCAGCTTTGCTAATCGGCTGGTGCGAATAACGTGGTGGATATTCGAGGAGGTGGGCGAGCCGTGTGGAAGCGTCCTCAAGAGATATTCTGTCACCTTGTTAGCTTTTTTGGAGGCTTTACAAACCCCTGACTCGGGCTGACGCATAATTTATGCATGACCGTGCCGAATCCGTGATTAGTTCTAATGAAAACGCGCAGGAAAATAGTTCACCTCAGCACAAAATGCAAATTTCCAATACACGGCACGTACGCATCTTTAACTTGCGCGGCTGCGCCATTAATATTTCACGTTTGGGGATTGAAATAGAGAGCGTGAGAGAGAAAATCCCAGAATTCGCTGTTGTGATGGTCGACGCTTAGAATTGAGGGAGAGGTGCCTTGGGAAAACTAAGTGCTTACGAAAAAGCAAACACGGAACGAGATGGCGAAGGAATGATGCCATAAATGTTTAATGAAGCAAGGCGATGAGTGTGGCTTGTCATCTGAGACAACTTGTCAGGGAAGGTGTTGCCGAGTGCGGTTGGTGTAGGTGTAAAGAGGGGTCATTGGGGCACATTTTTTTCGTGGATTTTGAAAATGCAAATGTACAAAAAAGAGCTTAGTAGCTCATCGGATTCCGCCAGTATGAATACAGTATTCTGATTCTCTCGCCTGCTCGCCCATTTAGAAATGCGGCACACTTTTTCTTTCGTAATTTCTCCTCCGTGATTAGGCGCGAGCCGAAACGTCGCGTCTTTTCCTTGGCTGCTATTCTCATGCCGCCGCTGCGCAAGGAGTCGTGAGCTTGATCCGATCTGCCCGGTGGCGGGCCGCTCAAACGATGGGATGTCTTAAAGCCCCCCGACCAGCCCTGCCTCTGCCCATCCAGCAGTGTGAGTGGGTTGGCCACGGTTATTCGATCGGTAGGGCACGCGTGGCGGGGTACAGCGTGAGCGTACGCAAACACGTCCGGCGAGCGTGGAAGAGTAGGCCAGAGCAATCTCTCGAGAGGCTCTCTAGAGCTCCCTGCGATCGGCGTTGGCCCTTCTGCCAGCATTGGCACGAGCAGGCAATTGCAGGGCTGCGCCTTTCAATTTCTCGCAGTGTTTCAATAATGCACCTACCGTCATTTTACCGCACATTTATTGTCGAGTTTGCACTGTGCCACCTTGTGTGATACACAGGAGGTCGTGAGTTCGATCCAACCTTAACGCCTGTTGTAAATTTGGAGTTTGCATGTCTCTCTTCCCGTGATTATTTTTTCTCCGGGTCCTCCGGTTTTGCCCTCCACATTTAGAATCAACGTGTGTTTAAAATATTTGGCTGATGTTAATTTGCACACGATGATAAGCCACTTCGTTGAGCTATCATTCGTGGCCAAGTCGCTTCTGAAAAAAGAGCAACATAGCTCAGTGGGCTTTACTTGGCACAATACAAATAATTAGTTGGTAAACCTGTCATGAGTGATGGCATTGGTACTGTGGTTAAATAATAAACAAAGAATCATTCTATAACGTGTAGTTTACTACACACGGAATGAACGAATATATTTGTACACCGTACGTGCAGTATTTAAAATGTTCGTGTTATATATTGCTTTTACACACCCCCGTCGATAAACCGAAATGCAAACATTCTCAGACGTAATTGCTCATCATTATTTTTTAAACCGTCGGCGGTTGAGCAGCGAGAGCGGTGGCCCAGAGGTTAGCTCACTTGCGCCGTGAAGCTGAACTCGTGAGTTTGATTCCCGGCAGCGGCTAAGATCGGTGGCGAGCGTTGTTCGAACTTATCCCCGGCAGTTCTCTTTCCGCACAAATCCACACTGACCGGCGTGGTGAAGTATGGTCAAACGGCCCCAACCCCCTGATTGGCACGGTGTGGGGAAGACTTAATCCAGCAGTGGATTGGCAAAGGAGCATACACGTTTATTTAATATTTTTAAACAAATAAAAGTACAGTAGCTCAATATTCCATTCTTTAAAGGCACCTTTCTGAAAACCAATGCTCCTGTACGTAAAATTATTATTATCCCTCGTCATCATGCAATTAGTATAGTAATTAGTTTCAATCTACAACCATACCTTTTGTAGCATTCATTTAGTCGTCGGCTGTAAACGCCAGGCTAGACGGAATTGTTTTAAGATATCATTGAGAACATCGGATGTCAACCCTGCTTGGCTCGAGTTCGTCTGAGATCGGGTCTGGGCGCTTTCCGCGTAATTATTTTCGAGAGAAAAAAAAAACCTCCCACAATACTCCACGTATTCGTCATTTCAAAGAGAGTCGAACGCTCGTTTAAATCATTTGTCAAAATGCGTTGTGCTTCTGCAGGTATATGCTGGTAAGCCATGCCTTCCATCAACGAGCACGTTGCCCGGAGAAGATTTATACGAGATTTTAATTTTCGTGTTATTTTTGTTGGTTGGCAGCAGTTAGGTATATTATTCGAGCTCGAGCAGATTTAATATCATCTCCTCACTTTTGCTCCCCTTCCCCTGCTGTCTCAAGAGGACATGTATTATGCATATGGTGCCTTTGCAATCGTATGTGGTCTCCACATTGAGATGGAAATTAAATACTTGCTTTATTTTCGTTACCAGTTTATTACGCCTAAGTTAACGGTTTTGTTTTGCATACAGTCTTTAAAAAAAGCACAGTTTGTTCGTGACGCTTGATATTTAATTGTTGATCTTGGCACAGTTGAAATTTGGTAACAAGGCAAGGCGCCTGCTCATGCCACTATTGGCGAAAGGGATTCCATGAAATGGGAACCTCTGCCTCGAGACTGTGTATTTTGTCTACTCTTCCAAACTGGCTTCTCGTCTTTAAAAAGGTGGGAGTACCCACACTTTACCCCAAATATTGGTGATCATGCTGGGACCATCATCTTGTTACTCTTGAGAATCAAATTCATAGTCGAGTGGCAGATACCTGGATTCATAACCCAGGATCTCCGTGGTTCCGGCTCCCGTGGATCTGGCCCCACCAGCCATCTGGCCACCTTCTTGAGCATATCACTGTTGAGGTTCCGCAGACAACCAGCAGCACGCCAACCAGCATAAACACCGGTTGACCTTTTGCCCCTACGGGCAGACTAATCGCCACTTCCGGTCCTGCGGTCTGCCCTGCGCCACACAGGGACAGCTGCCACTGGGGGAGGGGGGGACAGCTGCCACGGGGGGGGGGGGGGACAGCTGCCACTGGGGGGGGGGGGACAGCTGCCACTGGGGGGGGGGACAGCTGCCACGGGGGGGGGGGGGGCTTCCCAGCAGCAGGGCATTGCAATGTTTTCCATGTGGTTTAAGGAGCTTTGAGTGGGTGAGGCATTTAAGCGTCCTACAAATGCAAAATGGGGCCATCCATTTAGTACGTACGCATGGAGGGGGGGGGGGGGGGTTAACCCAAATGCGTAGCTTGCATATGGGGAGTTTACTGACAATGTACGCATAGGAAACGGGGGGGGGGGGGGGGGGGGTGACACCTCGATAATAATTTGTCTACATTGGCCTTCAAGTAAGTTAGATAGTCCGGCGGTGGACTATCTGTTTGCTTAAACACGTTCATATTATTAACCCTTGATCGTTTCTGCGTGGATTAAGGGGGGGGGGGGGGGTGCGTCAGGCGTACGTACGCAGGTGGGTGGGGGGGGTGTAAAAAGTACGCGTGCGTACAGGGAGGGGGGGGGAGGGGATCAAGTTTTGACAGATTTTTTTCGTACCTACTCCATGGATGGCCCCTTATTTATTCTCATCCTTGCCAGTGACGGTTTGATGCGTGGCTCGTCACCACAGTGTAAGAGCAGCTGCGCCGTGCGCATTTATTCTATCCTTCACATTTTCATTCGCATCGCTCTACCGATCTGCTGGGGCCGCAGGACGATGGCACGTGGCGCGGCACGCGTGGAGTGGTCGGGTCAGCGGCCTCGGCAGCCTCGGAGGTTCCGGACGACGGCCCCCTCCTCGACACGTCTCCCTCGGCTGTGCGCTCGCTCACGCAGAGGCTGCACTACCTGGAGGTGTGTGCGTGCAGATACGTGTGTGTGTGTGCGTGTGTTGGCACAGTAGGGGGGCACAGGTGTGGTGCGTTGGCCAGTCGTCTCGGGAAACCCATGGCGCCACCTGGGTCTGTCTCGTGACCTCCTGCCAGCGGGCGTTCGACACTTCACGTGGCTTTAACGTGCACGTAGCCTGGCACGAGCGCCGTGGCGACGTCACCGCCACTTAGTGGGGAACGGCGACTGTTGTGTGTGTCTAAGCATGTGTGCGGGGAGTGGTGGGGCAGCGGGTTAGCGCGCTGCGAATCCGGCGAACCTGAGTTCGATTCCAGCTCACGGCCACCAACACCAGTGACAATTATCTGAACCGGTTCTGGGGCCTTTCCTAGATCGACTCAGTCTCAAATGAGTACCTAGCTCATTGTGTATACATCGCCACTAGGGAGACAAAGGCGACCGGGCGTGGTGCTGGCCACCCACCTTCTCTTGTGCCGTGCCAGCCTTCAAAGGTGCTCGCTAACAGTAATTGCCCCGACAATCTGTTATGGCTATACAGGGGGTCTTTGTGTCTGTGTGTCCGCACATACTGTACGTAATGTAGTGGTTAGCATGCTGCACTACGAACTTAAACTTCATTTAAACTGAAATTTTTAATTGTATTTTACCAGTTAAGGCCCACTGAGCTATATAGGAGCAACCCGGGCACAAATTATAACCCAACGATGTGGCTTATAATGTGGAAATTTATAGCCGCCAAATACTCTTAAACGCATGTTTCTAAATGTGGAGGGGAAAAACCAGGAGGACCCGGAGAAAAAAAATCACGCGACCACGGGGAGAGAGAGAGACACGCAAACTCTAAATATGCAGGCGTCAGGATCGAACCCACGACCTCCTGTATACCGGGCGAGGTAGTCAACATCTCGTCACCGTGAACCCTAGAGGAGTGCTTGCCACTGACTTGCCCCACAGTGGTGGAGATAAATTGGCCACTTGCAGGGTTTTTCAGAATTTCTGCGAAAATTTCTCTCACAGACGTTCTCGGACATTGTGTGTGTGTGGGGGGGGGGGGGGGAATTCACGAGATTCCCGAATGGATTTAGTAGAATTTTTTTTAAGTCCTAAACGCTTTTTTTTAAAGCCAATGTATGTATTGCTGAAAGAAAAGAAAAAAAAAACAGATGCTAATTTTCTTCATAAAAACTGGGAAGGTTGTGGGAACTGGAACTGTCAATCCCATGTGAATTAGCTCATTGGGCAAGCGTTCTTCTTTAACAAGGGAACGCCTGGGTCTCCCATTTAGAGTAATTATATTATCGGGCCATCACCATGGTAAATAAGGAAATGTAATCAGTTTAAAAGGTCAAGGTGGCTAAGGTAATGATGGGATATGTGCAGCCCTGCAATGTTTTGCCCATGCCACTGCTGGCGGAAGGGCCTCCACTCGAGGAAGCTCTAGAGAACCTATCAAGGTGGTACTGTGGCATGCTCTTGCACACTGGCCAAACGTCGTGGAAGAGGTGGGAGCACCCAACTTTACCACATTGCTGCTGCTCTGCATAGGTTGTACTACTGAGATGCTCCCCTCCACCAACTACTGGACAGAGCTTGATAGCTCATCGGATTCCTCCAGTATAAGTAAAGAATCTGAATGTGGAATTTACACACCGTGAACTCAGGGCTCTCGGTGGAATTGGACGCAGCTCCACAGTGTTCGAGTAGGGAGACACGTTTACTTTTTAGCTGACGATTGTAAAAAAAAAAAACGAATTTAAATCTAGAAATGGCATGTTGCATGTGATGTTACATGATTGATGTTTAGCACTTGTACCCAATTTTCTGGTTTGGAACCCTGGGTCTCTCTTGTAAATGAGACTTGCAGCATCTTTGTCAGTCTCAATGGGCCCTCACCTGGTCATAAATGAACATTTTATACGTCCGCAATATCACTATTGTTTTAAGCTATGGCCCTCTAGAGCAGAGAGAGAGAGCAGGCGGCAGATTATAGCTGGAAATAACATTTTACAGCAAAGTGCTTGTACACCAGTGCCAGTACGGTCCTTAAAGTTTTATTTTAAAATATAGACACACAGATGGGTGGATGGATGGATGGATGCCACATGTATGGCTGGCAAAAATGTGTTTTTTTATGGTGGGGCAGTTTTCTTATATTGTATTCCAATTGTGCATTCGGAATTCGGCCACGAGATGAAGCGTCCATTCCGAACTCTCGCACAGCCGTGTCAGAGAACGGGTGCCGTAGAAGCAGGTATCACAGAACTACTGCCGCGATCCATTCAAGTGACTTTTTTTCCCTTTAGCTTGCAATGGAGAAAAATGTTTATCACGTGAGAGTCGAAGATATGTTTTTTTGTGTTCAAAACTGGAATTAAGCCAAATTAAGTGTGAAAAAAAAATAAAACGAATGTAATTTAATGTTGGGTTTTTATGCAGGCATTCATGACGGGGCCGAGACCATTTTACTCATTCTGGATTGAAAACTCATTTCTTTAGAACTGCTCTTTGTGTGTTTAGTTTGTTATCCTTCCCACCGCACCTCCGATTAGCACGGCTGGCTACGTACGGTGCGAAAGAAGTTCACCACACACGTTCGTACGTACAATTAGGTTGCGGCTGCCTGGATTTGAAATCAGAATCTCAGCAGTGGCTGCTTCGAGCCGCTCTCAACTCTAAGCCACGTGACCACCTCAGAAGCTCGCCCTTTCGAGGCACGCGCTGCGTGTTTAGGTTGCGTTTTTCTTTGTTCAGGGGCGAATGAGCAAAGGTAACCGCACCTGGGCAGCAATTAGTTGCGTTGCAATATTGACGCGCACCATTGCTGTTTGTGTTCAAACGTCTTGCATTCCCCAACCCGCAATTAGCATGGGTAATAAATCTATAAGGATCGTGTATCCTCGCTACGCTCTGGTGCTCGTCGTAAGTGATGGATGTTTTTTTTTAATCTCCACTTAAAATGACTTCATGTCGCCGAATGTTATTGTTGTTATTCATCAGACCATTTTTTTTTATATATATTGTTGAACCCAATGTGAGAACAAAAATTTACACGTAGGCTTTCGCGACGACATCACATTTATCCCTCTATTTAAGACCGAAATAGGAGGAGGGTATCTCCACAAATCTGGCTGTCGCCTGATGATTCTGGTTGTAATTACTGGCGAAACATTGTACTCGAACTGTAAATGTTGTGGGTTTACTCTCCAACACACCAGTGTGCTGTACTCGTAACGAATTGACATGTTTTGATTACGTGACAAACCTTAATAATTGGCTGTGTCGGGTAGCGGCGGGTTTAACGACGTATTTATATTTATGCGATCTAACCCAAAAACCTCTATTATGGATACAAAAAATGTTTCAAAGACAGATTCCCATTTCGGTAATTGCATATGTAAGTAAAACTCTGTTCTCTGTCTCCATATATAAATAAAACATATCTTGTAGTCCATCGGCCTATTCGTTTTCCTAACGAATATTATCCAGTGGCCTTTCTTTGGTAGGTTGTATTTGATTGAATACCGGTTTATTGGTGAGTAATACAACATACAAAAATGTGAATGCCATAGCAAGTTGTTATTTTGTATGCTGTTGTCTTCTCGGTGTGTTCACTTATGAGTAAATATCTGTAATTATTTAATTCATATTGACTTCATATCACAGGGATATCTAACAACGTATCACCAGTCAAAGTCTGCACCAGTAATGGGCACAGTGTCAATACTTGGTTTGATATTGCCTCTGACCAAATCACCCTAAACGTATGCGCGTCTGATCTATTAGAATCTCCAAAGCTAAGCAGGATTGAGCTTAGCTATTATTATTCTAGGATTATGCACTCGTAGAAAATTGCACTCCCAGAAGGCCATTGGGCCGATGGGTTATGCCGGAATTTCCTTTGTTTTTTTTACATGGAGAAGCGGATATGTGAAGAGAGATATAATGTCTCCTTGATCTATTTTGTTCATGGGTACCACAGTGGTGACATGTTAACTACCTTGCCTGGTATACAGGATGTCATGGGTTCGATCCCGATCCTGATGCCTGTAAATTTGGAGTATGGGCTGTTCTGCCCGTGGTCCTGTGGATTTTTCCTTCGGGTCCTCCGATGTTTTCCTTCGCATTTAGAATGAACATGCGTTAAACGTATTTGGCTGCTATACATTTGCGCATGACCATGAACCACTTCGTTTCAGCTATCATTTGTGGGCTGCTATACATTTTCATAGTATTTGGCTGCTATCAATTCCACACGATAAGCCACTGCGTTGAGCTATCGTTTGTGGCCAGGTCACTTCTGAAAAAGTGGGAATTACCTGCTAAAATTAAAAATAGTTCATAGTCGAGTGACCGCCGGGGCTTGCCAGGTGCTGTAGTCCCCCGGGCTGTGTGGTGACCAGCAGATGGCAGTATTGTGTGGTGGGGTTTTCTCCGCGATCCTCTCAGATATGAAAGATTATTGAGATTCAGTGAGCATTTCACTGTGTTAACATATATTCCATTGATATTATTATTTTCATTTTTACAAGAGGACGCAGTCAATTCAACTGCACCACCCGCATGTGAACTTGAACGTTTCTCTTCCCAGAAATGCTCTCCGCTGTGGCCAAATTTAGCCACCCGCCGACTTTACTGTGCCCATTGCTTCAGGGGCAGGCACTCTTTGAATATCACACCGCGTCGGTCTGCATTCATAAAGCACAGGCTCGTAGTTGAATAGTGACACCCAGACTCTGCGCGATTTTAATCTTCCTGCCACTGCCCTGAAAACCCCCCTCGCTGGTCCGTGCTTGAAAGGGTACAACAATTATGAGGTGGGAGGGAACAAAATATATGATTACAAAAAAAGAGAAGCTTTTGAACAAAAGCTTCCATAAATAAGTAGGGAAAAAAAAACAATCGAAAAAGATTAAGTAAGTCAGGAAAGCGTGCGATTATCTTTCCCATTACAAAACAGCAGCAGATGGCGATGCACAGAACATCGTATCCTTAATGTGCTGTGG